CTTAATTTTAACACTGACTTTGAATAAGAAATCGTTTTGGAAGCATGGTTTTTGCATTAACCACAGTATCATATAAGTACTTACTCTGAATTGGATTGCAACTGTATTTTGCTTTAAACATTACTAATCGCGAAACAAAGTGGTTGATTTAAGGATTCTTTGTTACATGGAAAACTTTATGCAGTTGATATATACTAACTTGTTATTTATCTAATTTGGATTTATAACTGTAGGGTTCGAAGAGGAAGTCATCGAAAAGCATCTGTTTTGATTATTATAGTTTTAGCTATAGATACAAAACTTAACTGTGCACCTTTAGTCGGATTACTCAACACTTGATTTTTTCTTGCTGACTACTGCTGTAACAACAGAAGGCAAGACACGGAAGCCAAGGTGTATTTTTCATTGATCAAACCGCTGTTTATATTTCTACAGTTTATATTCGTTAACCAATCACTGAGAGTGTGATTTTGGTTTACACTGAACAACATGAAATAGAATGTTCAAATATATATACATAGTATTCTGTTGCTAACGGGGTGGAAAAGTTGGTGGAAAACCGAACGCAATGCAGACGCGCAGCTGAAGCCCTGTGCTCCTCTAGGAATTAAAGGATATAATAATAATAATTCTGTTGCTGATGCAGTATCGAACTGTGGGATTATTTGAGAATCATATTCCTTTGGAACACATTGTCTGTATCACACAACCACACTACTATAATATTTATGAATTTATAGATAAACGCTATAAGAAAGAACTCACTGGAATTTACTGTTCATCAGAATATCTAAGAGGGAATATTTTAGTAACATATAACGTTGAAGTCCGGTTTAATTTGATACCTAAGTGGCATTTTATTGATTTGTTTACACTAGCAGCAGTTAAAGACAGGTCAGCTACACTAGTTTTATATTAATTATATTTCTTTTGTAAATAACATTTCGAATATAAATAATGGCTACAAAATAACTTGAAAATTCTTACCAAGTCAACTATGACAGACTTAATTTAGATAGAAGAGTTCATCGTGAGCTGACATTAGTTAGAGAACCATTGGAAAACCTGAAAGTACTGGATAGCTATTTCGTCCTAGTTTGGGACTCTTCAGCAATACGAAACCACCGGGTTCGAACCCAGGATCTTCTGGTTACAAGGCGAGCTCGTAGACCATTGAGCCACTGGGACCCGGTCCAATGGTTCATGAATTCTAACTTCTGCCAATTCACCGCTTAACGAAACAGCTGTGCAGTACTCCCAAGTTTTCCAATCGTTCTCTAACCAATGTCAGCTTATGATGAAATTCTGTAACCAACCAATCAAATTCCTACGAACTAGTGGTTGATAACATAATTTGAGTGAACACTAGTAACTAATGTGATGTATCTAGTCCTTTCTTTGTTGCAGACTGAATTCTGTCAGTCGGGTTGGCAATGTGGCCACCATTCTAGGTAGCTCACCATCACAGTGCACATTGCTTTGATGATATTAGGTGGTTGGAGGAGATCGGCAGGAAGCATTGGAGCTTGGTTTAGTGTTATTTGGGACTCGTCAGCAAGGCGTGTCTGCAACCTTGAAGGGACTCATGTCCCTTCTGAGATTCGAACCCGCGTCACCCAGTGCTGCAATCAAAGACGTTACCTAAAATGGGACCATCAGTGATAGCTTTGGATAAGAATACTACGGTTGGGAGTGAAGTAAAAACCTGAGTTATGACGAAATTTAAATTAGTGTCCGTCGGACTACTTTACCGGTACTATTACAGGTTGTGCAAATTGCCGCAGTTACTAGACTGGCCATTACTTCACTGTAATTATCATGACTTATGATGGGCTAGTTATCTGATGGTTTAGCTTCGCTGTCCACTGATATCGCGGTTTAATGGCAAGTTATATTTTATGTATGTTTTCTAAGTGAAATTTAGCACTAAATTTTGTTTTACTCACCTAAATATTATCTGTGACCTTATTCTCTTGAGATGAGTTACGTACTGATATCTGTGCAGAGTAATGGAGTAAAGAAAGCAGTAAGTTCAAAAGTTAAACGTATATTATTGAATTTTCACGAAATCATGCTGGTAAATTTTGGTCTATTTATTGAAATGCTCTGACGCCCACCGGTGGTGGTGGAGGCAATCCTGCCGACTGCCTCCAACCACCTAATATCATCAAAGCAATGTGCACTGTGATGGTGAGCTACCTAGAATGGTGGCCACATTGCCAACCCGACTGATAGAATTCAGTCTGCAACAGAGAAAGGACTAGATACATCACACTAGTTACTAGTGTCCAATCAAAATAGCATTAAAAGTATTTTGAATAGATTTTCTTAACATGTTAGTGATTATTTCACTAGGAGCTTCACCCTTGAATTGCAGTCGTATATATAGAGGCTCCTTATTTACACATGGAGAATAGTTATTTTCTGCTTTCTTGGTCATGTGTTTCTGCAAAAAAATAACCCTTCTTCTTGCTTTATTCAAACTTTTTAATAGTTATCTTAGAACGAATTGATAATCTCCAAGTGTGTATTTGCAGGGATTTCATTGGTTACAGGCTTGATCATGAGTTGCTTTCAGTTAGGGAAACATTGGAAAACCAGAGAATACTGGGCAGCTATTTAATCATAGTTTAGGGCTCTTCTGCAGTGGCTGAGTGGTCGATGAGGTTGCCTTGTAACCAGGTCCTGTGTTCTGAAGAGTCCGAAACCAGGACAAAACGGCCCTATGGTAATTTTTGGTTTTCTAGTGGTTCTCTAACTGATGTCAGCTCGTGGTAAAACCTGTAAACTGACAATCTACAAATCCTAACTCCACATTGAATTTAGCGCTCTAAAGATTGTCCAGAAGGTCATAGAAATTTCCACAATTAAGCATCTCGCTCAGCATACACAAATATCTGACATTCATTCGTAGACTCGAATTTTCATGAAGTGCAGTCAGATATCCTATGATTTCCCGGGAAGGCAAAATATTTTCAAAAGATAAATCTTTACTTCTTAACCCGGTGAAATTTAAGATTATTATTAATAGTGTGAATTGAAAAGCAATCACCGTTACAAAAGAAACATATTATGAGATTTTCTAATCACCTGTTACATAATGGTGTTGAAAAAGTATATATTATTTATTATTTTATATTTTAATTTTTGATTACAGATTGATTCCACACTGTACAAATATGGAATTTTCAGCGTGGATATCGGTAGCCCAAATTTTGCAGGCCAGCCATAGATATCAAGTGTGCGTCGGTGTGGGCTCGAACCCCGGACCATAAGCATGGTCGCCAAGAGTCCTAACCACTGTGCCACCGACGCCAATATATTACAGAGAATTATAGCAATTCTGGAAATTCATCTTATCTAAAATAAAGTTCTCATTTGAGGCAGGCAGTTGTTCAAGATACGGGAAACATCAGCTGGAATGACAGCAGTAGTATTCCGAGTTTCAGGGAAAGTAAAGTTAAACTTCAAATGAGGACGAGACGCTTAAAAAGACGGCTTTTTGTAACAGCTACCGCTTTCTATGACTGCAAACTAGCACCAAACTATATATATATATATATATATATATATATGGTCACGATTAGTAGATTTACGCAAGACAGAGTTTAGTAGTTTAGTGAAAAGTTCGTCTGTCAATGTGTTCTCATCAACGAGTAGCAGAAGATAACTATCAAAAAACAGTTGTTCATGTCTCCCCTACTCAACTGAGGTGATTAATACATGAATGAAAGAGCTCTGAGGGAGTAAAATTAAACTGCATACAAGTGTTAGCTTAAACCGAAGTTGTACATATCACCAGACAGGTAACACGACTACTCCATCAATAAAATATCAGACTTCTTTTAAGAGCTAGCCGTACCTGATATTACTGTAGCCATCTAACAAATAGTTTCTGTAAAATAATCTGGTAAAATTGTTGCAGTTAGGCTGATTCGTTGTTCTTACATATGATTTAATAAACCTATCACCTAATTTGTCTTCAAATAGTATAATTTTCTGAAGTACTAGCAACTCTGCGTTTGACATAAAATCGCATGACAGTAAGATGTTTATTGCGAAATTTCACGCTAATGCCGGTAAAGTTTCATGCTCAGCGTTACAGTCATGGCATTTTTCTGAAATAACAAACCACTGATGGACTCTCCAGGAAATCACCTGTTGAACTTATGTTTAATAAGCAGATTATTTTGTTGTGTTGTCTGAAGTGGATAGTTTAATGGAATTTAACCATAAAGATGTTATCCAGAAGGACAATGAAAGTTTTCCAACTAAACCATCCAGCTTAGGAAGCACGAAACAGCAACAAAAACATCCCCTTGTGCTAGAAATCTACTCCACCACCTCAAAATCTCTGATCTCTTATCAGCTCTAGTTTCATTCGAACTCTACTACAATTCAGACGTTGCACATGTGTAGATGTGATACATTTCAAGGTAGATGTAATCCCTAGTCTATACCAGAAGGAAAATTTCTGAAGCACAAAGGACTCACAGATCTGGTATATATGATTGAGAACCAAACCGTACATAAGGATAATATTAGTATATTAAAACGTTACATTTCTCACAATAAAGTAAAGCTAACAAAGTTAAAGAATAGCAATTCAAGTGAATGAGTGAACTAATGACCTTGTAACGAACAGTCAATTTCGAAAGGCGAACTTGTGTTTCCTACACAAACTGAAACTTAATCTCTCCTTAACTAACCTTAAACATGTATGATCTTTCTGCAACTTAACTGTGACCCAACCATAAACTATTCCCACCTTAACCCTAATCCTAATCTTTCCCTAACGTAACCCTAAACTAACTGCCAGCTAACCTGATATCCTTTAATCATTCTCCCATGGATAAACTGTCTTCCACCTGGTTTTACTAACTCACTCTCCACATGAGTTTCAAGGTCATTTGTGAATTCGTTCTCCTGGACCGCAATTTTTAACTTGCCCACAAAGCTTCACACATTACTATAAAGTGTTCAAATTCAAAACGAGAATATCAGTTGGTAACAAATATTCATTTACTTTTACTTATAATTTTTTTAAAATCTTCCCTATTTTTTTAAAGAAGGCGGTAATAATATTTGATTTACATCTTTAATTAGACAACCAATCGTACAAATAGTAATATGCTATATAGAAATATGAGTACACAGAAGTTAGAAACAGAACAGAGGAAGCGGAATACTTCAAGCGGTAAAAAAAAACAAAATGAATTTCTCTTTTGTGTCATTTATAGAAGTTGGAAAAAAAATTTGAATAATATAAGAAATTCACTTATGAATCATAATATATATCTATGTATGTCATAATTGATTCATGTAGAGAGTAAGAGGAAAAAGTGATTGTCGTGTTAATATAAAAGTCTGTATTATCAATCAACTGTAAAAAAGTAACAATAACAACAATAGAACAAAGAGTGGTCAACAATAATATCATCATCGGTCAGGTGAAATAGAAATTGAACAGGAGAAGACAAGACAGTTGTCGTTTGATTAACACACAACCGGAAATAATTCAACTTTTAATCTATTTATTCTCACACTGAAAAGCACACGCATATGCATATAAGTGGATGAATGAATGAATGAATGAATGAATGAAATACACCATCTCTTTTAATGCAAGTCAATGCATTAAAATAAAGAAAGAAATTCGTTGTATTTCAAAGTGTGCTGTATCTTCGTCGATTACGTCTGCTAAATATAACGAATACAGTGATAGCAACAACAATGCATATAATTAGTGCAACACCGACTCCAATCGGTATGGCATTGTTAACACCAATATCTGAAGCACACGACTTTGCTGTTGAAGATTAGACAAACAAATAAACAAAAACAAATAAAAATAGTAAACGGGAAAGATAAAAGTAAGAGAGAAAATACTGCATCTGAAGAACGCAGATGTTCAACAGCAGTAACTAAGATATCGGTATTACTTTTCCCCCTTCACGTTTAACTAGTTAAGGTTTGTTTTCACTAATTTAAAATAGAAATTGCGATTCTCTTTAAAATTATTTTCAATGCAAGTTTTGACATGAACTTACAACAAAACTCAGAGTGTGTGTTTTATCTCCAGCCTATTAGCAGTGACAGAATAACTGTCAAGATGTCCTTGTGGGAAGTTGTTACTGATGGGGCTCAGAATGTTGAGAGTGAAACTGGTACTCACTGATACTACTTATTAGCAGTAGTATCGTACGGAAAATTTAGAGAAATCAGAATACAAAAGTAATCGGACTTGCTTCATAACTTGGAGTTCCCAAATGCAACCCTATATGTAGTCTTGCGTGCGCACTGATGAAGTGTCCCATAACAGGGAGAAACACCTTTCTAGTTAATAACGGTTCTGTAGATGATGTCGGTCAACAACAAAGTCTATACGGACAACAATCGAAGCCCTAACAGAAAATCCAAAATCTTTAGAATTATTGTTTAGTATCAATCTTAATAATGTATCGACGTTGAAAATAAGATAAAATTTTCAAACTTGTTGACCAGATGACAGAATCTTGGTAAGTATAAAAAGCGAAGGCACTTGGTGCTAACTAGTACAAAACAGATTGTTTTATCAAAGTTTAGTTTTTAAATGGCGGAATCCATTCATCATTCGCTGGGGTTTCTTGAAACCTATAGTTTTTAATCATTAATTTGAAGTTTCAGGCACTAAACATAGTACAACGGATGATAATTGAAAGTGAAGTAAAGATCTTGATTACCAAAGGATTCAGCCCTTTGACTGTCACTAGTAGTAATAGTAGCCCACCGATTACATCGGTAACTGTATACCAGCCGAACTTTGTCTCACATAGTGTCGCCATCCATTATACTAGGTAGCATTAATCCATTACGTTCCCAGTGAAATGTAAGGCTTCAAACTAGAGCTTTGAAGTTTGGGTAGCAGTGATTTTATTTTCACAGGGTGAGGTAGTTAGCCTCATACCCCACCTTCCATCTTTACTGGACTTACTATTGACTTAGGGAGGTTAGGGAGTATGTCAGTAGGCGATCGAATACAGGACCATGTTCGTGGTTGGCGAGCATTCTACCGCTGAACCACCGATGAACTATACCAGATATATTTTGAATAAACTGGACGTATTGATATTAGTACATTGAATTCAATCTGATCACAAAATGAGTGCTGGTCAATAGCTTTGTAAAATCTATTTTGTTCCTGATAACATACTAAACGTCACTGTGTCGTCGGAAGAAAAGAATTACAAAAGCAACGCTTGCACTTTAGCCCTCTGTGAAGTTCCCTGAATTTGCAAACACTAACAGTGGTATTGCGAAGTGTTCACCCAAACTCCTGTATTTTTTTCCAGGCAAATGCATTAGAATTCATATAATCACACAAATAAACCTTTAATTTTCTTTGGTTCTACTCAATTATTCACAGTTCCACACTTACGTATGCAATAAAACGAACTAATTACCCTTAAGTCTGTTGGAACATATTTATCAAGCCGATTTCATAACCAATCCAAAACAAATTCATTTAAAACAAATTGGAATACTTTTCGGAATTGTGTCTGTATGGAAACCTTACCGCTGGCTACACACCACCACAGAGTTAGTCAGGGCGTATAATTTTTGGAGTTGACCTTTTCTAACATTCCCTCCCACAGTGACAGCACAGATGGCTTGTTGACTTTCTGAGAAAACCACCGCTGGTACACTTCTATTTGCCAGAAGCACGACTTCACCCTCAGACCCTGAACATGGTGTAAACGACTTATACTATGACGAAAACTGTTTTTAGTCTAACCGATATGCCAACAACTTTACTAGCATCATAGGACCTGCAGGAATACTAATCTCAGTCAGTGTAACTTGCTGGATCATTGAAGTATGAAAGCCAGTACGTCAGCATACTATCTGTAGGTGGTGTGTAACATAGAATTTTCTGCAGGATTTGATTCATACACTTATGAATAGATATGATATACAGAATCACTAAATACCAAGAAACATGGACGAACCTATCTGTCTTAGTTTGAAGATTTTTCAGTAGCGCGAACAGGAGAACAAAATTTGCTAAGATACTTGAGGCATATATATATATATATAACCACTAACAAGTAGATAAAACTTACAATTTCCATAAAACAACTCATTAGCATTATTCATGAATGCTTGCACCTTGAATTGTTTCATGTATATTTTACAGCTGTTAGGCATTTTTATATTTTCAGCCAGGTCGAATTCCTCCCCATTTATACATGAATAGTATGAGCCGACAGGTATTTGAAATACACTAACATTCTTGGACAAACTGACATGCTTAGCTAAAATAAAAAGTTTTTTTAAATCAACAATTGTTAATTATTACATATGAGGGGATATTCATCACTCTTAAAACATGATAATCATGAGATATCAGCTGATAGACTATTAACTCAGTACATTATATGAGAATTCAGGGGTAGCGTCTCCGACTATAGCGCTAGATGAAATGACTAGAAACTTTGAGAAGAAACCAACTTCTTCAAGATGGTAGATAAGTCTCAGTGACGAGTGCCAATAAGCGTGATACTTCGTTCTTTGCATTCGTACAGGCTGTCTTCTAAAAGACAGATAAATGTAACGACAATAATATGATGAACATACACACATACACACAAATATTATTAATTTTCTACCATTATGTAATTCAGTCTTGAATGAGTGTTTCAATATCCTGAAAATTTTGTAGGCAATAATTATTAATTAGTATAGAAGACATAATTATTTGATTGCTTGGAGGATTTTATCATGAGCTGACATCAGTTAGAGAACCACTGGAAAACCTGGGAGTACTGGACAGCTGTTTGGTCCTAGTTTGGGACTCCATCTCAAAAGTGCGCACCCACTGGAGTTCAAGTCCCGAAGAGTCTTAAACTATGACAAAACAGCTCTCCAGTACTCCCAGGTTTTCCAGTGATTTTCCAAATGATGTCAGCTCATGATGAAATCCTCCAAGCAATCAAACAAAAATCCCTACAAAACCAATACTAGAAAATATAATTATTTAATGAAGTAGAGTTCGACTACTAAAAGAATTTTAAACTGCAAACTTTGATGTTATCGTGATAAATTCTGATATGTTAGGGATAACACCATTTAGCAAAAATGATGATTAAAACTTTGTGTCAGGTTATAGGAAATAAGTAAGAAAAAGAAAACTTACTAGTTGGTGAAGTGTCTGGGAATAATGTTTCATCTAAGTAATAATCGAATTGTAATTTATCCAATGAATAAATACCGGAATCATTATGCGTTGATATGTTGTTATGTTTAGCTTCATGAATAAATGAAAATGTTAACTTCCACGTAGAATTGACTTTTAAATTGTTTGGCGTAACATCCAATGATAATTTGGCATAACTTTCGGTACATTCACTTTCATTACTAATTACCGTAGCATTAGGTTGAGACAATTTGTAGGATTTCGTCTGTTTCTTTGGGATTTTTTCATTTAAACACAAAAGCAAGCAAACCAATGATCAGAATTTTCGTTACGGTCAAAAGAGAAAGTACCAACTCAAAATGAAAACAGACTAGGAGCTCTCAGTTCCACAAAACTAACTGACGCTGAAAATATATGATAAACAGATGAATGAAATTTTAAGGCTTAAACTCTACGATATCTTAATACATACTACACAGTGTGGACGGTATCTGTATTTACTTTGAAATAACACTATGTAAATGGCCTCTGAAGAGCAAAATGTCTTGAGGACTATCAATATACAGTCGGAGTTATTAGTAAAGTGGAAACTCTGTTGTCGTATTCCGAAGAAAATTCGATTACCTAACACAGGATTATATACAGGCTAACTAATGCACTTCAACCGTCAAATGATGACGCACAACAACCTCATTAGCGGCAGGTCGGGTGTGAGGACAAATATTCGCCGAAGACATTGGCTAGGGGTCGCATTATGTCATGAATTGGCAGAAGTTAGAATTCATGGACCATTGGATAGGGTACCAGTGGCTTAATGGTATACGAGCTCACCTTGTAACCGGAAGGTCCTGGGTTCGAATCCCGGTGGGTGCGTACTGCTGAAGAGTCCCAAACTAGGACGAAACAGCTGTCTAGTACTCCCAGGTTTTCCAATGGTTCTCTAACCAATGTCAGCTCATGATGAAATCCTGTAACGAAAATTAGAGTTGTATGAAATTATCCTGGAAACTAGATGTTACTGGAAATTGAAAGTATGACTTTTTAATTGCAAGGAGAGTAAGAATACATCCTGATTTTTAATTGTTCCTCAATAATGTTGCTTTCTAACAAAAATCGCTTTAATTGTGTTCTTATTCAGGACTTGAGTGCCGACCAGTTCTGCAACAACATATAAGTACTGTTTTTATAACTTGCCACTGTTTATGTGAATGGAAAACAGTTGTAAGCCTCACTATCAACCAGGGAGTTATATTTAACGCTGAAGTGAATGTCCATGAATTAATGAATAAAAATGGAAGGTGAGATTAAAAAACAGTACAATAACGTCTGTATACCAACTGGAAGTGAACTGAGCGAATAAACAACTTAAATATTAATTTTGTATTTATCAATCACTAATGCGCTTTATATCTGATTATCCATAAGCCTTATGCTTTAGCTTTCTAACAATATAATGAAAGCGTTTGCGTGAAGAAAACAAGCTTTATATACCCATTGTATGTGGGCTGAAAATAGAAATAACCAGTTCAAACCCTCAGTGAAAGAGCCGGATTCAAAATTGAAACACATTTATTTTGAGGTCCAGTGACATTTCCAGTAAGTCACACATTACTAGATCACTAGACTAATGGTGGACGTATTTTTCATCCGACAAATCCTGCAGTTTTATATTTCAACGCTATCAAACTAAATGGGCTCAAGGAAAAAAACCTAACCACTAATGTAGCTGGAAATATATTGAGATCTGATACTACCACTATTTATAGTGAAGAGAACGAGACAGATGAGAGAATATCTGGTGTTTACTAGGACAAAAAACAATGAACATTATTAAAATTATAGATCATGCATTAACTTGATCATTTGGAAACAATATTAGCCACTCTATTTCAAGGATATTTCGTTTCTCACTGTCTGTAGTCTATTAGGTTCTCCAAAATGAGACAGGAGTTCCTTACTCTGAAATCACTGTGGAGGTCTGTAGCACTTAGCACCAGGAACCAGATCCGAATTTTCAACACTAATGTCAAGTCAGTGCTTCTGTGTGATTCAGAGACTTAGCGTGCCTCCATCACCAAAGGCATTTCCAACAGACTACTGCAAACCTTTAACTACCAACACCTATCTTCGCTGCCTCAACACTGAAGGTGGCATGACCAACCAGTAAGAATAAAGAAGCGATAAGGCACTCTGCCAGCCAATCAATCAACAATCTAGTGCCCCATAGATATGGATAGCAAATAAACTGATAAGACTGTTTGGCGACATCACACATCAGACATGTCCTTGAATGGAATCAGAATGGGAAGTGTCGAGCTGGGTGTGACATGGAAAGATCATGTGAGGAGAAGGTGGAAGCAGGTAGGCATCTGGGGAATCAGGTGAAACTGATGGAAAATAACTGACTGGAATCGGTATGTGCCACAGAGGCTCTATGCCCTACTCGAAAGGCAATGAATGAATAATGAATAATAATGATATTAGTTATATTTCGAACTTACATTTAGCGTGACTCATCTTTTTATTTATATATTTGTAGTATTCACATTTTCCTTCACCCCCTTAAAACCCATACTTTTGTTTATGTTGTTTAGTCTTTCATCTTGTATTCTTTCTGACTATACATGATACATGCATTTAAATGATAATCAAACCCGGTGGACTATTATTCCATCTTGTACTTGTATCACGACACAGATTCTGATATAATTTTGATTTGCTTTTACTGGTGATTGTATTCTAACTAACACTAATGAATTTGTAACTGTAAAGCCTGAAGAAATTTTTGAGAACAAATGTTCCTTCACACTATTCTTATTTTGACTACATGGTCTTATTTAAAATTTGAGATTGAGTTTCAGTCAGAAATGTATGAACAGAACTACATTGGTAAAGTCCTTTTCAATTTCCTACAAATTTAGAATTAGGTTTATATATATATGAAATTCAGGTGATCAGTGTTAATGCCGTCGATCTGAATAAGTAGAATGTAACAAATGTGAAAAACGCAATAGAAAATAATTCTGTAGCAATAAACGTTAGGACTATTATATGCACGTCTATAAAACGCCTCATGTTTGATTCATCAGTCAGTTGTACTTTCCTAATTTCTATTAAGTCACAGTAGTTTTAATGATGTCTTGAAATACTCTCACGTTTCAGATAGATTAAGAAGAGCTGATTCAATTAAGCATACCTAAAACTATTGAGTAGAATTTAGTCGAAGAAATTCTCTTCCCACAAACTTAGCTTGAACTATGAAAACTGAAAGTAGTTAACTGGCAAAGGCATTTGAAACTATGGTTACTATGTTTGACTCGCAATAAAGATACTACCAATTACTGGCAAGCGTATGCATCTATGTGATGAGTACGATATAGGACGGAACGTAAATCCTCCCTTCTATTTCCAGCTACCAACAAACAAGTAACTTCGAGTTCTTAATATTGGTAATATCGAGGCATCCGTTCGAGGAACTCGTATACCGAAATGAGGTTGATGAATTCGTACCAGACATTTCAAAGGGTATTCACAAACATGGATAAATAAATTCAAAGTTAGAATTAGTTTGTGCACCATACATTCAAAACATTGCGAATGACAGAATCTCTGGCTAAATGTGTATAATTCATAAATAATCCCCACCCAGTCATTAGTGAAAATAGTGGAGAGGATCTTCTAGGCGTTTTCACTTTCTGTAAGCCTTTGTTCCTCAACAATTTTAGATGATGTTGGTGCACCAAATGACCAATATATCTGGCTTCACACGAGATAGTGAATTAATGTATGCGCAAAGAAGACGGTGAATGCGAGGTCTTGTCTTCCATACTTCTACAGACCATTGAACAACCGAATAACTCTACGTTTAGAATTGATAGGTAGAATGTTCTCAAAAAATGTCGAAAGCCCTCTTTTACAGACATTATAAGTTAGGTCACCATTGAAATCAAGGTCCATATAAAGTCGTTTTGCCAAAAAAGATGCTTCACTTCTCTAAATTTTCCGTTTGTTGTTCTTGTCAATAAATTTTGGTGAATATCCATTTTGGACGAAGATCTCTTTCAGCTTCAATTCCTTTTCTAGAACGTCACGATTGAAGATACGTAGGATGAAGGTGGTAAGAGATATCATTAAATTTTGTTCTCCTTCAGTCACCACCTAGCTGCAGGTGACCATCCTATATGGGTTTCCCATAGACAGACATTCTTAAAATTCCATTAGCCGTTCTTGATAGTTCAAAATCAGGCAAGGGAATGTTCGATTAATTCTCCATTTCAGTGAATTTCATCTCTTGATAGCAGTTACTAACTGCTTGTAACATCTGAGTAAGGTCATATTTGTTATCACAGATAATAAAAATGTCGTCCACATACCTTGTATACAGTTGATTTTAAGGAACCATTATCAAGACTTGGCATAAAACAGTTTATTAACAATGGACCCAGTGGGGCTCCATTCTTTTATCTGTAAATGATGTCATTCAATGTAAACTGTTATTAGAGAGTACATTTCAGTAGCAGTTCCTTCAGATATGCTATTGATATTCCGACGTTCAACTGGCTTTCGTCTTTATATATCTGCATATAAAATACATGATTTCCATAAGTGGTGAAGAATGATTTGATGTCGAGAGACAGCATGCTTTTAATAGGGATCTTCATATCATGTATGCGATCAACGAATTGGAAAGTGACACGAAGCTAGTAGATGTACAACTATTTTCAGTCAACCTTTCCTAACTGTTCCATTCTTACGAGCCCTTACGTAACATCACATTTTCTTTGCTCCTATGTACATCCTGATTACAACTCACCCACTGGATTACTGATCTCATTATGTAACACCATCACTCCTGCTCAAATTCTCTTACGAACTATTTTGATGTGGTTGTGTTCTCTGAGCTAGATGGTTAGTTTGCGAAGCTTTCATCACCCTACTGGGTGACATCTTCAGCGCATACTTCAATTTGAAGTATGAAGTACCAACTGATTAATATCAGCAACTATGCTTGTGACTGTTCATCTCTTCTGTCCCTGTCCTCTTTTGTGAAAACACTGTATATCAAATGGGATTGTACAACTAAAGAAAATGAAGTTACTGAGAAGAGTTACTTGTTTTGTTTATCGTTAGGGCTTATATGTAATCAGTCCTATAGTATATTAAGCCTATTTCCTAAGATGGTTGACTATTTTTGCTTTGTATTTGACAGTACTCAGAAATGAATTAAACTAAACAGTATAATTTCATAATGAAGTTAGGAAATAAATAATGGGCATTCCAAACACCTACCTCAGTATTATAATAAATCTCGAATATCATTTCAGTTTGTAAAAGAAGGCAATAAGTGGTACCATTCTTTATAGAAAATTTAGTAGCTGTCGAACTAGGCATAACTTCAGGGATAACTGTTGTGGAGGTAGATGAAGTCGAATTATGAGAAGCATCAGTTGTTATTGTTGTTATATGTACTGTGGTTTTAGGTTGTACTGTTGTCAAAGTTGACTGAGTAGTTGAATGGCTTGTAGTAGTTTCGGACGTGGTAGTGGAATTCTGTGTCATACTACCAGGATCAGTAGTTTCAGTATGAGACGACACATCAATGGATTGAAAACTGTCATCTTCGAAGATATCAAAATCTTCCTGGCGACCAACTGATTTCACTTCTGAATACAATGGCGTGGTTGATGGTGATGAAGCATTTTCAACAAATATATTCTCATTACTATTGGATGTTGAAAATTCAGAGGGATTGAAGGCATTGGTGGAAGGACTTGTGACTATCGTCAAAATAGTTTCGGGTGTACTGAGACTAGTAGATGACTGGGTAGTGGAAGCCAATAGGTGTTCAGAAGAATCTGGCTCACTGTAATTGATGTATGTTGTCGAAGAAGGCGAAGATGCGTCCACATACTCAGTAGATCCTGAAGACGTCAAATATTTGGCTAATTCAGTGCTCTCACTTCCTATCAGTTTTGAGTGTTCGACAGTAGTTTTGTAAACACCAGAAGTGTCACCATTTTGTGTAGTATCTAATAAAACACGAAAGACAGTAATATATAGTAAGAAGGAATAGTTACACTTTTTATTTTATAATTCTTGTATTAAAATCCTAATTAGTGTTATGGTAGACCTAAAATATATTAACTAAATAATTTCTATAGAATTTAATTTGTTCTAAACTTGAAAGCATCATTGTTAACCTTTCTAGGTTGGGCAAATACGAAAAAAATGACACATGAATACCAATTCATCAGCGTTTTGCTGCTGAGGATCCCATATCACATGCTTTATGCCTAGCTGGTTCAGGTGTCGCACTAAGCGCTGGACCTAAAGCTACATTATTAGACTAAATCATCACTATTAGTCATTAATATACTGTCAGACCAGAAGAGTGAGAAGCAAATGGTCAGAGAAGCGTTGTCTTTACATCATCTCTATCTGCGTAGTGACAGATTGCAGAAGTGAGAGAAAAGAACTGATAGATTGCAACCTGGATATAATTAAGGATGACTTTTACCATCAAACGATTGACCGTCTTGAATGAGGGCAATCCACAGATATCGTAGTGCACACTAAGCGGATGAATTTGTATATCATTTTAGCCTCGGAAAGAGAGTATCTAGATGGTCAGTGGGGACTAAGTGGTGGCAGATCAGATAATGAAAAAGGTCTTCTACAGCTCTGTGAAGACCATAACCTATTTCTGATCAACACCGAATTCTGACATCGAAATCGTCGTAGTGCTACAGAAGAGTGAACTCAAAAGACCACACGGCACGAAATATGACAGATTAGTAAGACGACCTAATAGATTCTTGAAACCATTTTACTTTGGGTACGCTGAGAATTCTAAAGATATATCTCTAGTAAAAGCTAACGTTCACCGACTAATTCACTGTTACACACCCTTGAGATAAGTTAAACAATTAACAGTTGTCGATTTGGAATAATGCTACCTGATATCTTCCTTCTGTACTCCAAGTCTGAATCCTAAAATGTTACACTATCATCAGCTACCAAAAGTGTAAGTGTATACAGAACTTTCATAACTTCTTAAGCACTAGTTCGAATTCTTATGATACCTTAGAGTGTGACAGGTTAATATTGCAATTTAGTGGTGATAATGAACGTCATTCTAAACGGATTGGCGTCAGTAAACTGGTTGCACTTGTCGCCATTGCCAAATATCAAGCCAAACTAAATTCAAGACTAGCTACTGACTCTCTAATCAGTAAAGACTTCCTAAAGATGACGAGTAAAGCCATTCTCTGACTGGAATAAAATTGCGCCATCAAATAATGGAATTTCGTGAGTCCCTTGAAACCTAATATCGTAGGCATTATTTGATTATACTCAATAACTTCACGAATGGACTATTGATGATGATGATGATAGAATGATGCATTAAATGACTTTTTATATACTTCATGAAGTAGCGAGCGGGGTAAGCTGCTAGAACGTAGGAATGATCTGAGTTTTCGATTGTCTTTCGATGTCTTGACCACCCAATCAAAGCATACATCTGCTGCTTGAGAAATGAATATCAGGCAAACATTACATCGGTTAAAGTGGGAGTCCCCTTCGTGCTCGAATCCATGAACATAAATAAGCTTTGAGAAGACACGACATGCATTCTTTCATATAGATGCGTGTACATAATTACGAACACGAATTCGATTGAGATGATGTAGAAATCGTAAATAGAGGAACCGCCAAAAATGCCAGGGTACTCAAATGAATCAGCAATTAACAAACGTACTACTATACGCCCAATTTATCGACTAGTAAAAAATAAATCACGTAACAAGAATGTTGAAATACCAAGTCAATAAAAAATGATCAGTATAGAAGTAATTGTGTGCGTCGGTGGCATCGTGGTTAGGACGTTCGCCTACCATGCGCATGGTCCGGGGTTCGATCCCCGGCCGGCGCACTCCTTTACCTCGCCAAACCAGTAATAAAAGTCGGTAAAGATGATAGGTTGGGCATGAGGCTAGAAACCGCATCCTGTAAAATAAACACTGCTACAGAAACTTCAAGCCACTAGCTTGAAGCCCTATTTTCCACTGGGGAACGTGAAGGAAAAAAATAGAAATTAATTAACAACCAGCCACGACAATGACTGCCAGAACACACAAGTAAGTGTCATTCATGGAGAATTCAAATGAGTTCATTTCATACTAAAACCTGCTCCGAAAATGTTGTCCAGAACGATAACAGAAGCTGTGCAATTAAATCAACCAGCTCAGAGAACACGACTGAGTCAAAATCACCCACCTGAGCTAGAAATCTTTTAACCATAGACGATATCACCTTTCAGTGGAATAACAAACGGGTTATTCAAATAGCTCTTAATCAACTGGCGATTGATACTTGGGAGTGTAATGTGTGTTTTTTAAACCACTCAAGTGCAAAAAGTATTCAAAATATCACATATCTAGGCAATTGTGTGAGTGCTGGTGGAGATTTAGTTGATGAAGTTTAGTAGATCATGACTCTCAGTAGCTTGAGGTGTAACTGGATATGGCTCAGAACTGAAGTTAGTGGGGAACATGATGCACTTTACTTATATTGCTTAAATTATTAAGGGTGAATTAACTCAGTTATGTTTTTAAAACACTGCCACATTTTCTTTCATCAACCATAGTATACCACGTTTGTGTTTAAAATAAATAGTAAGTTAATCAGTTGATATTTCTCGACTAGCATGGTGATGCCTTAGAACACAAAAAGTATTTAGCATTCATTGAAGATAACAGTACTCTGCCATACTATCGACTGATTTTCTACGCCTAATCTCAATACTTACCACCATCAGTTTGCTAATAACATGATAAATTAAACCAAGATTCTTATGGTTAAAACACAATCTTTGTGTTTTCTGCTTACAGTTGCTAGCACGTGACTGTAAATTATGATACAGGCAAGCATGCTCCAATGAGTTCCATGCAGCCACTAAATCTAGCAAATGCCGAAAACATGTTTTATCGTATCAGCGACCATCTATGAGGGTTGATACACTTTCCTCGTTGAAGATTGTTAACTGACGTAAGATTGGGTTGAACTAGAGTTAGGTTTGATTAAATCATTCATCCATAAAGTCTTTAACCTTTGACTTGAGCCACTCAGGGGGTATATACTACAAGGCCAAAGTTGCCGAGACGCTAGAAATCAATCCTAGGAGACTGTTGATGGCATCCCTCAAAATTGTTTCCAGCGGTGCAAGTGTGTTAATTCAGGTCCACTTAATCTTTTTATTCTCCATGTAATTATTTTTACCATATAAATTTCCGTTTATTACTGTTTCTCCGCATTCCTTTTTTCAATTACCATAAGTTATTTTGTATGAAGTGTGACAACTTAGAATATAACACTTTAGTGCAAAGTTCTATGCTGGATATTCAGTCAGTCGGAAGTGATCAATACAACCATGAAGTTTGAATAAAGCAAGAGCAAAAGTTTTTGCAGAATAAAATAGTACCATTATCAATTTCGTTATCTTCTCATCACTGCTTACAGCCCAAAGACATTATTAAGTTTATCTACGGAAACAATTTTAACATACTTGCATAGATTTAATTTTAAACAAAAAATCAATATATATATATATATATACAGTGCTAATAATAATAATCACTTTATTCCGAACAATGATAATACATACTGGAGTTTTTCGACGTTGTGTAATCAAATAAAAGAGAGGGTGAAAACATCTAGTTACCAGGGCAAGAGTTGGCTGATGAGAAGCCAACAAAATAAATCGATGATAAATATTTGACACTGTAATAGGATTAAAACCAAGAATTAACTTCCTCCACACTTGATGATATTTCAAAGTATTAAATATTCACTGGGCCATTGTAAATTGGCTTATGAGTTTATTTTGTGTACATAAGGTGCTAACCAATTAACCAGCAATTTCAGCGTTTCAAAATGAGCTAAATAATAGAAATGACAGAGTGCACATGTCTTTCTATTAACTCGATTTAAGCAACAGTGAGCATATCATAATATTTTGTGGCGTAAAACTGATGTACTATGAACAAATAAACTTCTGCGATTAAAGAAGTCATCACATAACCATCGAGATAGTAGGGTTATACATTTTTATGGTACTCAAATTCTGGCCCTAACAAACGACTATTAAATTCCAAATTCAAAAACAAAGAAGCACTTTTTCCAAATGTACAGAGTTGCCCGAATGTTCAAGAGTGTATATCGATCGGAAATCATTGATTAAAAAGCACTTACTCTGTGGTAGTGGATTTGGATGTATGACAATAGCCAACCGTGAACAAATAAATATGAACAGAGCACCTAAGAGATATGTATGATATCATATGTGGGACTAACCAGTAACTAGCATCGTGAGAGGCTGAGGCAACCTAACGGAAACCGTGAAGAGATTCAATGTGAGGCCACCTTGAATTTACTCGGTTAAACAAATCTCAGGATTCCTTGAATTTCTAAAATTCAATAAATACATACTTTTGGAAAACATTGTTGTAAGAAAACGGAGGAAAATATTTAAGCCCGATATTAATTATCAAAGAGAAATAAATGGTGCAGTATAAATGTTTGGGAGGTGTTGACGAAGCATGTGAAATAATGTCAAACAGCAAACCATATTCATGAGAATTTCGCCTAGTCCATGTCTGCTCAGCCATTTGCATTACCAAACTGAGGTACGTCGTGTCCATATCACGCCACCGTTTCAAGCACAGGTTCAATTTATGTGCATTCGGAGTCTAAAATTAAAGGCGTGTCGCAAAGGATAGTTCACGTTGGGCACTCAAGATAAGCTTCAGTCCCATCATCGAGTCTTAGTTCAACTTCGCTCAGATTATACCTATATAATTTTAACATATGTCTACTCACTCGGAGCCCAGTTATTTCATAATTAATCAGTCAACAGTAAAGAATTCATAGGGATTTAGGACGACTTCTGTCTTCGGCAATCAATAATCCAATAGTCCATTACTATGTGTTATAGATAGGAATCCTGGTTGATAATGAAGCAGATGTACATGTTCCTTCCTTGTCTACACATGAACGTCAGTATCCTGACACAACGGTAACACTACAAGCAGTCAACTAGTCCAATCCCCAATCGTGTGGACTGACTTCTTACGGGCAGAGCAAATAGTCACTACCTGGTCCGCTCACCCAGTTAACCAGACATTTCTGGTGCAGTCAGTCATACGTCTTCTTTGAACTTGACGATTATACACACAACAGCACCTCCGTGTACCAAGGTGGTGAATTAGTTTCCAGGTATGAAGTCTTCATTCCGAAAAAACGAAATGAAGCATCATTTTTTTTTGTTTTTGTCTACCCACGACGCCTTCATCCAGACCGACTCAGTAACGTAAAGGTAGAATTAAATAAGAAGCTGGAGGTTGGTATTTTTCTTTTAATTCTTGGTCTTCACCAGTTCACATGGTCCCTAAATAGTCTTCTGATAGAATGACACCATGGAGTGATTACCCAGCTTCAAATAAGCCAGCAGTACTGGATTGCTACCCATTACCACATATGTCTGACTCCTGTAGTTTCTGCCACATGTTTTCTCCAAAGTTGGTCTCTAAAGAGGTTATCACAATGCTCCCGTCCATCTCAATAGCGCTCTGAATAGAACTGTTGCCATACCATTTGACCTTTGTAGATTCATCCTGATGCCTTTCGGTCTCATGAACCCCGTACAGCCATTCTATCACCTAATCGATCAGGTACTGCAAGGTCCCCCCTCTACCTAGGCATGCATCGAAGACTCACTCATTACGACTCTAGATGGAACTGAACACCTGAGACGTGTTATACACTACTCGAAATACTTAGACAACTGTGAATTACGTAAGACCTCGCTGAAATCTTTTGGGCATTTGATCGACAGTCACGTGCCTGATGTATACACACTGTCGCCAGCAACTTGGTAATGCAAATGACTATGCAGACGCCTTGATGACTTGCAAGCTATTGGAGATTACTCACTACTTAACTCAAGAAATTATGACGTTTTCGGGTGTTACCAACATTTACAGTTATGACATTTCCAACTGTGCTACAGTTCTGCAACTGTAAACCGACTGTCCACGTGGACTTAGTCGTTTGTCTCGCCTTTCAGCTGAAGTCGTTAAATCCTCAGAGACTGTTAAGCACTTATTATACGAAAAGACGTTTTTAGCCAGACATAAAACAGAAGTTTCTCTTCCCTTTTGATGGACCCCCCGAATTCAACCACTGTGGTAGTCCTACAACTACAAGCACACAGTAAATGACAACTTCCCATATTCTTTTCATAACGATTGGACCCAGCCCAGTGTTTCCACAGCACTTGTGGTGGAGTGTTACTGGCCATTTATTTGGCCATCAAAAAATTTAATAACGATATATTATCACAATGCGTACGTGAGGGACGCCAGTTTATGGCCACCATCAATTTGTTAAATATTATATACATGGAGTAGACCTATTTACAATTTTCACTAACACAGGATATGTATACAAGAAATGGCAATGGATTAATGTCAGTAAGCACACTTTACAGAGATAAAAACAATTTACATAATATAATCCCAGGCACCATCGTTGTTTAAATTTGTCGAAAACGTGAGTAACTACTGGAAGTTGCGTTACATTTATTCCACGTGATGGACTATCAAAAGAGTATAAAAGTGGCTTGTAAAACGTTGGTTACTTTACCGTCAGCAATGTTTTCAGCAATATCATCTTCAAGAAGCTCACCACAGCAGTTTGTATCCGGATAAACATGCAAAGACGCGTTAAAGAATCAGCAAAATCAGCAATTAAAGAACCTTTTGATCTATTTTGGTCAGCAACCAGAAGGACTACGAACTAATCCATACTAAATAATGAATGGATCATTCAGGAGAAGAATATTACCATGGAATGAGTCATCGGGATTCAAAGTGCAACTGTTAGCACTTTTCGCTGTTTTTTAGATATCCTGACATATTGGCTCCGTGATTTGGATTTGTCAGCATGACCAGCATCTGGATGAATATCCAGATGCTTACTACAGATTGTTTGCCGTGCGGATTTAGTTAATTTCATTTCGTGTGGGATTTGATCGTTCTATGATTTTGATATATTCCGCAAATTATTGCTGTGATCATAGGAAGTATGAGTCTGCTTTATGTGCATTATTAGGCGGACTCCACCACGACACCACCATTGTGTATACACCCGATATTGAGAAGGTCGAAGAATTTGAGTTGTACCAATGGCAACAACGGATTCAGATAATTCCTTGCCACTATAGACAGAATATCACATTCTTTTCAGAAAGTAGACTAGTTGGTGAAGTATAAATGATGTCCAAGAAACTCACATCTTTCCATGTGATATTGTAGTGAGTTACCACCTTGTTTTCTCATATTTCATCCGTATATCTGTTTTGTTTCACCCTCTGTATCAGGTAGTCATTATACGAACAACTCGTATTTGTTTAGGTGCTTTGGTCATGACTCCTGCTTTTTTATCTGATATTATAAATAGAGGCAGAACAACAAGTGTAGTGTCTAAGTTCACACAATAAATGGTACTGTAACTTCTGAAGCTCTTACATGGGAATTGAAAATTGTATCGCTTGCAAACACTCTTGGTGTTTCATTAAGTACTTTTTCGGAGTGGGCCAATTTGTTTGCCGCCTGCATTTCCGTTGGTAGTTTGTTCCATTTCTTAGCATGTATAATCAAGCAAACCTTTGACCTGGTGTTTGTTTTACACTGTTTTATAGCCACTGTACTCTTAAGTGTGTCTTAGCTGATATCCACTGTCATTTGAAAATCAAGTACCATTAATAGGTATATACGCTATGCGGTTTAGAATCTTATAGAAAAAGAATCAAGTTTAGCCGCAGTCGTCTCGGCTATCGTGTTCGGAGCCCCAGGATTTCACGTCTGGTGGAATAATTTGTGCCATTTTCGTTTCCGAATACCTTTAGCGTAAAATACCTCTGTAATCCTTCTCCCTTTGGTTTGCCTTCTATGCGAATATTGCTGAATATGCATGAACAGCAATCTAGGGTTCGGTCCAAACGAACGTTGCACAGTAGAGAATAAATTTATTTATTTAGTAGTATTCTAGATTCATTACTGTAGGCACAAGCTGGGAGGTATAGCTTTCAATATTCTTCAGGGTCATGAAGTTCTAACATAGACCTTACCTACTAAACGGCAGAACTTCCCGCCTCGTGAACTACGACATCTCGGGTTTATACCACAGTTTATCTCGGATACTAGACAGGTAAATATTAACGACTATGAAGTTTCAGATGCTTCGTCACGTGTACATATTAACAACATTTTATGCCCCGATATCGACTGAGAACATCACACAGCCTATTGAAGAGAAAATGCTGAACTAGGATATACAGCATCTCGTAAAATGACATCTTCAGAACTCACTGAGACTCCTTTTGGTACGACAAAAGTCTTTGTTACACCTCTCATGGTAAATGCTGACTTTTACTTCCAGAAGCTACGAGACGTTCCATTTTCGGGAAACTATATAATCTGTCACACCCAAGATTCAGTGCTGTCACAAGGCTGCTTGCAGAAGGACTTCTAGGACCAAGTGAAGCCAGAAAATGGGAATGTTTTTCTTGCCACAGAGTCAAGATTCGTTGTCACACCGACAAAAAATTGGGCGATTTCTTTTAACCCTGACCCGATATTCGACCGTATGCATATAGATATCGTTGATCTACTGCCTCCATCCAATGGTATCATCTGTGCTTCACTTGCACCGACAGATTGGCTCGTTGAACTATAGCAGATCCGCTGGCGGACGCATTCGCTGAAGCAGTTTCCCAGGCTCTAGTGAAAAAATGGATGGCAAACCATAGTCTTCCGTCCATTACCACAACCGATAGAGAAGCATAGATCGAAATCCACCTTCCTCATCAGACCCCTGAGTTATTGGGATTAAATGAACGACTTCGTGCCACTGTATTTTCAGTGACATGGTTAAGTGGTTACACTGGCAACTTATGAATGAGTTTACTGCCTCTCCGACCTGAAGTGACTGATCTACCAGATTTCACTTTTACTACGGAGCGTAAAAGTCATTTAAAACGAAGATAGCTGATACTCCGTTTCCGAATTAGTCTATTTGACAACGTTACGCTTCAGATAACGAAGTTCTGTTTGATATGATTCACTATGTGCACATGTTGAAACAGCGCACAGATGAGACAAGTATATCACTTCTATGGTGGTAGCAACGACTGTCATACATCCCACTACGAGCGATAAACTTCATTCATGCTTTCATTGGGATCTCTTCAACCCGCTTACGATGGTCTGTTTGGGGTTCCAGGGAGGAACAGCAAAGTTATTATTTCTTATTTTTGTTATTATAGCCTGATTCCACACAGTGCTTTTGGTACAGATATTG